ATTTTTTTTAAACAAATATTGCGCAATTTCAGGGATACAATTTTAAAATGAAATTTTCAATACTTACCAGTCCCTATGCACCAAAAAGTTGAATCCGCTTAAATTCTACAGAATTTCCTCTTTAATTTGGAACCCATACTTCTTCTCTAAGGACATTTCACTGAATTTTTTAAATCATTTTTTGAATTACTGACGTCAAAGGGAAAAACTAAAAACGCAATTTTACTATATTTGGCTACTATGATAATATTAATTATTAAATAAAAAAGAAATATAGCCAATACTAGTAAAGAAAAGGAATTTCTATTATTGCCATCAATGTAAATTTAAAGGCTGCCAAAAATTTATTTAGAAATTTAATAATTTTGAACATGGTGACAGAGTTTTTGAAAAGTTTGATGCAGATGTCTGAATCAATAAGCTAAGAAAAGTTTTAGTTTGTTAAAAAACATTTATTTTATAAAATTTTACATGCTTATTCAAAATTTTTAGTAACATATTTGCATGACAATAGATTTATTCACGTTTTTATTTTTATTATAATAAAGTATAAACTTTGAAAAAGTTTTTTGAATGGTAATGAAAGTATTTAACAGGTCGAATATTTTCTAATTTGTCTGCAATATCTCTGAACTAAAATTGCACTTTTCTAGAAAATTTATTGCCTATACATAGTATGTATATTATAGCTTTATATAAGATATTGATTTTTATGTTTGTTTGTGTACAATTTTTGTTGCTTTTTATACGTCAATAACAAATGACATTTATTTATAATAGCTGCAGATATAATTATATATAATAAAAAATTTATTCACATTTGTGCACCTTACTTCTCGTAAAAACACACAATATACACTATTAGGCTGAGGTCAGAGTAGTCATAGTAGTCATAGTGTCATAAAAAGTTAAAAATCGCTGCATGAGTTTTTGTATGTACTACACACATGGGTTTTGTGTAGATCGAACTTTCTTTTTTTATTAATCACTCATAAAAGCGTGTCTTTAAAACGCATCCCTGTTGCGGCAATCCCTGATATAGAATATTTTCATCAAGCTGTTGAAGACACTTAGCTTACCGCATTGACAAATATCGCTTCGCTCCTCGCATCGCCTATCCGCAATAACTCTGCCGCCAGCCTTAAATTAATATGTAGCATAAAAATATGTATGTTAATTTTTCAACACACTGTTAAATACCAAACAATAATTTTGTGTAATATTCTTAAAAATTTGTATGTTCAAGATTTTTTGACTAGATAAAAAATAAAGTTTTTCTTATAAAATTTATGCATTTCCCGGTATAGTTTTTGCATAACGTTTCTTAGCTCAGAATTTTGTAAAAACGACATAATAAAAAAATTTTGTTACGTATGTCACAATAGAAAAAAATGTATCATATGTTAGTTACTTACATGAATATCTATGCGAAAAATTGTTGGCAGTACCTACATATACATAGACTCCCATGCACTTGAATAGGGACAGTTCTAAAGAAAAATCATAAGAAATATCTTTTAATATTTCTGTTGCATTTTTGAGAGGTGCAAACTGCTTTAAGAAATGTTGATCGAAAAATATTTCTCTGAGAGCTGCAAAGGGCTCTTAATTTGCATTTTTTTTAATTAAAATACAGTTCATTCTCTAACAAGAACCATATAATCTTAAGTTTTAACCTCTGTGGTTAAGGAAAAATCATAAAATCTTCTAACTTTTTTCAAAGAGTTATAATTTTTTTCTGTGTTATCCTCCAGTTTGCAAGTTTGAAGCAGCTACGAATTACACAAGACTTTTAACAAATTTGTTACTGACGCCCTTCAAGTTTGTTAATTAAAAAAAGCGAGACTGATGAAAAATAAATTTTGAGAAAATTTTTTGAAATTTTTATGAAAATTTTATATATTTGTTTTTGTTATTTTTTGGCCTTATAACAATTATATTCAACAATTTTATAATGAGCTCGAGGCCATTTTTTAAATGAAAATTTATTGTGGAAAAGCAACAATAATTTGAAAAAATGGTAGAAGTGATAGCTATTTCGGAAATCACCACATTTCCTCATCAGACTTCTTTCAGTAGGATTCGAACCGACTCAGCCAGTTGCCTATGCACCGTGCTAAGTACGCCTTGTAAATTATCTTTTGCTTATTTCCACTATTTTCATTTTTGTTATGCCAACACAATCAAGCGCAGCTATTCCGCTGCAATTCACTTGATCATGTGGTTGTTGGTTTTGTTGGTTTGTGCTAATAATTCTATTTTTAGAATGCTTAACTTTTAGGTGTGCTCGTCCTTAAGTTATTTGTTTTTGTTATTTTTTGGCCTTATAACAATTATATTCAACAATTTTATAATGAGCTGGAGGTCATTTTTTAATTATTGTTGCTTTTCCACAATTTCATTTAAAAAATGGCCTCGAGCTCATTATAAAATTGTTGAACTTTATATATTTTTTTTAATTTTTAACAAAGTTTGACACTTTTGTTCCGATGGTTTTTGTTAGAGAATGAATGTGTTTCAATGAAAAAATAGTGGAAAATAAATTGTAGAAAGATATCCCAGAAAAAAGCGAAAAGGCACTACTGTCCCTATTCAAGTGCATGGGAGTGTATACATTTACATTTTCAATTAAGATGTACGATACATATGTATGTAATCTCTTGTTTGCGAAATTTAAAGTACGGATATTAATGCTCCCCTTTCTTTTGAAAATTTCCCTCTTTCAACAGTATATATTTTGACGCCGATTTGAGCGACAAACAATTTGTCAGAAAATTGCGAAATTGTTTGTGAAAAATTTTTTTTACGCCTGAGAGATCTACCTGAAAACCTTCTTTTTGATTTGAGAAAGCTTTCACAAGAACTTTCCATCGACTATCAAGAATTTTGCTATGTTGTACTCAAAAAAGCAATAGAAATGTATTAGAAAAATTCTGAACTTTGTTTTAAAATAAAACACCACATCTGGAGTTGATCCTTTCGTCCGAACTTTTGATCAAATGCGCCACAAAACTACCGCATATAATTACGCTAGTTCAAGTTCAATAGAATTTAAAAAATTTTATTGTTTCAAGAACAAAATATTTCGCGATCACATTCCGGTTAGGTGTTGCGTTTTTCTATATTGTCCATGGCCTAAAGTTTTAAACCGCCTCCGTACGGCAGATGCTTTTCTACGATAAGATGTTCTTATGGCAGAAATACACTCGAAAGTTTGCTAATGCCTATCGAGGTAGTCGAAAAAAAAATAAAATAAAAATATGCAAAGGTAGAAGTTATAGCTGTAATCCCGGAGATCACCAAAACTCCTCATCAGATTTTTTCATCGAGGCCAAGGGAATTTGAGCCGCGACACTTCGGCGTAACAAGCCTGTGTACTGCCCACTGAGTTAAGTTTATCTCATGTAAACTGTTCTTGCTCAGAATTGTTGCGACATTGGGTGATTTCAAGTCATAACCGCAATTTTAATTTGGCCAGAAAAAAAATAAATTTTACAAGAGTTTTTTTGTTTTTAATAACACAGTCCGACAAAATTGTATCTTCGCCTTCCCTGAAAATTAAAACGGCCGCATTTGAAGATTTTCTTGCGCTGATTCTGCATCTACTGGTACAATTTCTGTAGATCTGTTGGTTTCGGTAAAGCAGGCGTTTGAAACGAATGTTAGAATGACCAATCTACGAGAAGTAGATGCGCCTTTTAATAGGACATACAAGGCCTATTCGCCGATTCTGTTGGAAAGGCTGAAGCCCTTCATGAACCAACTGATTGGACCTAATCAATATAGATTTAGGCTTGGCAAATCCAACAAGACCAGATTTTCACAGTTATTCTATTTCTGGAAAAGTTTTTAAATAAGTTTTGAAAATATACAACGCGGATCGCGATGCAGGTAACAAAGAAAGAACGACAACTGAGATTCACTGGGCATATCCAATTGGCGGCAGCTGGCACACCAAAAGAACTCGATACGAATCGACTGATCGATTACAGCGCCAATAAGGCAGTAGAAGAATGGGTATTCAGCACATTGTCGTCGACTTTAGACGCGCAAGCAGAGAAGGTATCTCTACGACGCCGTGCAATTTCCGCTAAACTGATGCGGCTATGTTGAATGACGTTGAGCACAACTGTAAGCTCCGTCTAAATTTGTAAGGACTTCTCTGCGCCTTCCGATATGAGATGTTCGTCCTTCGACAGTTCAGCTAATGAGTGCAGGTAATAATGATACCGTTGGCCTCAATACAGTAGCAGTTGCGCAGCGTCTTCCATATTAGAAAAGAAGGCAATTATTACTTGCAAGATCTATGGCTCGTTAATGCCAGCGACGGGTTCCTTTGAAGTTGGTTTGACGAGTTGTATGAGCTTTAAAGTGGCATGGTAATATGTAGTTAAGAGCGTAAAAGTACTTATAGACGGTGTCTTACGCATGAATAATTTTGCTCTATTGAAAATATTTGTCCGCTCGGCATCCATGTGTGGAAAGCATGGGCGCCCAGAAATAAATTTGAGACACGAAGTGCAAAGGAAGCGGTCTGCAATCGGGATGTACAACCGGCGTAATTTTGCGAAGGAGAGTGCAACTCACTAAGGTTTTTAGTTTGGGTCAAAACCGAGAAATGGTTTGGTGTCAAATAAGAAGAAGAAGTTGTTCAATCATTATAAAACTATTCGAAAGCGACAATTTTGGAACATTGTTTTTGCATTGTTTCAAACATTTGTGACTACGTTTAGTACCCTGTGGTGTCGAGGTGTCCCTTTTTATGTCAACTCGACAACGAGGTCGACAGTTAAATATATAGACTGTAATTTCTCCAATATGTTCTAGCACTACTACTTATTCGACTAAGGTCGCCGGCATATTTTGTGTAGTAGATACGTATGTACATACATATGTATAAAAATGCATGTATGTAATTGTACTGCAACTATTTAAATATACTTAAAATGAATATTTTTCTACAATTATTACACTTTTATTAAAAATTTTTATTTCCTAATAATAATAGAAAATGAACATATGTACAGTATGTATGTATAAAAACGTACTATATCGCTAGCTTAAAACGAAGAGTTGCTTAGTCCAGTTTTTAAAATAGTACAGGAGGGAATACAAGCATTTAAAATTCAGTTTCTTCAAGTACATACATATTTGCAAAAATTTTAACTGCATATTTCAAGCTAGAACACTTCAAAGGAATAAAATTTCCCAAAGTTGTAGAAGACCTTGTGTAATATCAGGGACTTATAACATCATTTGTGACTATTTTCTACTTAGAAGGTTTGCACATCACTGAACTGAAAAAGTTTGAAATAAAACAGGTAATTGGATCTTTTAAGAAACTATTAATTTTTATGTAATATACACATTCAATTTTGTAGAAAAAATGGGCTTAGCAACGTTTCACTCTGCATAATATGTAAGAAAATATATTTCTTTTATACTTTTAAAATATATGACACATTTCATTTTGCGTTTGCAGAAAATAGATACTCAGACCAATGTGGCCAACCTTTGAAGCTGTTGTACAACTCATCTGCTCTTGCATCTGTCGATGTAGGATCCAACATATATGCTCCATATATTTTATAATCCGGCGAGAGTTTACCTAATCGTACACCCTCCTCTAATAATAATTTTGTGACATCCATTTGTTTTTCTGATGGCTTTTGTTTTTTGAATGTACCAATATAGGCGAAACTAATACTGTCCGAATTGAAGCCACGCAAATGTGCACCGACTACATCCCAACCACGTCCTTCATACACATTGCCATCGCCACCAATTAGGAAGTTGTAAATAATATCATCATGATTTTGAGATTCAATGTTAAGAGTTTGTGTCATACGTACACGATAGACGCACATGGCCTGAAAAAAGAGAAAACCATTTTTAAATGTCAATAAGTAGGTAGTAAGTAGTGAATATACTCGTAATAAATATGTATGTGCATTAGAGCCTACCACCTTACAAGCCAACAAAAAAAGTTCGCCGTACACCCATGAGTATAAAGTAATTTTGCAAGCCAATTTCAAAAAAAAAAATTATATTTTGGCCGAACCTAGGTGCCCCGCCCTTTTGATATTTTTCGGTGACCCCTTTTTTTTAATAGTTCTACTGGAATAATCAAAATACATCCATACAAAGGTTTAATGCTTTTTGGTGAGCTTTAGTTTACTGGCTTTAGGGTGGTAC